GAAGAGACAAGCCACAGCCACAGATTGGGAGAAATATTTGCAAATCATTTTTCTGATAAAGGATTTGTACTCAGAATACATAAAGAACTCGAACAATTTAATAATAAGAAGCCAAATGACCTAATTTTAAATAGGGCAAAAGATCTGCACAGATACTTCACCAAAGAAAACATATGGATGGCAAGCAATCATAGGAAAAGATGTTTAACATCATTAGACATCAGGTAAATGCAAATTAAAATCAAAACGAGATACCACTTCATACCCACTAGAATGGCTAAAATTAAAGACTGAATATTAAGTGTTGACAAGGAAGCAGAGTAACTAGAACTCTCATACACTGCTGGGGGGAATGCAAAATGGTACAGCCATTTTTAAAAACAGTTTGGCAGTGTGTTAAACATACATTTACTATATGGCTCAGCCATTCCATAAAAACATACATTCACACAAAGACTTCTATGTGAATGTTCATTGCAGCTTTATTCCTAATTGCTCAAAACTAGAAAGATCCCAAATGTCCCCCAACTAGTGAATGGAAAGACAAATTATTGTACATCCGTACAATGAAATACTACTCAGCAATAAAAAGGAATGATCTGCTGACACATACAACAACATGGATAAATCTCAAAAACATGATGCTAAGAGAAAGAAGCCAGATACAAAAGACTACACATTATACGATTTCATTTATACGAAATTCTAGAAAAGGAATTTCTATAGTGATAGAAAGCACATCAGTGGTTTCCAGGAGTAAGGGGATGGGGGAGGGTATTGACTGAAAATACAAACAAAGAAACTTCTTGGGGCGATGGAAATGCCATATACCATGATTGAAGGGGTGGTTATAAAACTCTTGAAGTATAAACTTAAACTTAGTAACTTTATTGTATGTAAAATATACCATAACAAAGCTGACCAAAACAAACAAACAAAACAACATAAAGCACAGTTTCTGATTCAGCAGGTCTGGGGTAGGGCCCAAGAACTTGCATTTCTAACAATTCCTAACAATCCCAGATGATATTGATACTGCTGGTCCTGAGACGCTGGCTTAGAGAACCCTTGGTCTAGAGACACTGCTGGGAATCATCTTAATTCGTGTCCATTCTGTACCACCACCTAGCACTCCTATCTTCAAGAGTATAGACATTCCAGAAAACATTGTGGCTTCTCATACCTCTTGACATACCTCCTGAAAAACTCTTGACATACCTCCTGAAGGCCTGAGGCTGTCAGAATGAAGTGGAGGTCCGTTGGGGATAAATTAAAGCACCTCAGGTTTAGAAGCAAATGTGGCCAGTAAACATGTCCCATTCCTGCACCTCAGCCCCACATTCTTACCATACCAGGATACCTGCTGTGGAACACAGCTCACACCCACAGGCCCTTGCTCATCTTGTTCTTTTGCCCTGAAAGACCTTTCCCTGACCTCAACTGCTGAAAATGCACTTGTTCTTTAAGCCCAGCTCAAATGGCATTTCCTCCATGAAACCATATGGAATACTTCCTTTTCTGTATTTTCACTGGCATTCATATGCTCCTTCATTATAGCATTTATATCTGGTCCTATATGCCTATCTTAACAAATGTTTATAGAAGCAAATTGATTTCTAATTAAAAGAATTATTAACAGTAGGGGTACCTAGAAAACAAAGGCATTTAGCGATGCTACTTAGAGTAGACATAGTTTTTTTGTTAGTCCTTTTTCTCTGGGAGCTTCTCTCTCTCATTCCATGACAAGCCTGATTAGTCCTAGTCCCTGTGGCGGTGGTTGGGCCAACTCCACCCACAGGCCCCAGGGGTGGGCTTGGAACTCATGCTTGGCTTATCTGAGTCTTTCCTCCTCCCAGTCCCAGCTCTGGGTTCAAGGATGGGCACATCACCCAACCCAGACCAACCAGATATCTTCCCAGTGCTCTTGCCAGAATCACAGGCAGAGAAGTTTAAAAATGCAAACATAGTAGACAAGGAAAATTATTACAAAGTATGCATCACAATGATCCAGTCCACTGTGTGGTGATACAATACCCAAAAATAACATGAGAAAAAGGCACAAAGGAAACACTAAAGACATCTTACAAATCTGGTCAATCACTGAAGACTGAAGACTCTGGTTTGTGTTGGATTAGCTAAGAGGCCACCTTTGTGTCAAACATAGAGACAAGGTAAAGGGCACAATCCTTTGACCTTCTCCAGGTTTTAACGGCAATGGATGAAGCTTACTCAGGGTCAAAAGAAGATGACATCCAAAAGAACAAACACCAGTAGCAAAAAGGAGAGGTGAATGGAGGCAAGAGATCTGCACATGTCTGTGAGCTAAACATCAATGGGCTTCAGAGGACTCTGCAGGAATTGTGCCCTAGTACCTTGCAACATGAGCTCCCAAAAGTGAGAGACAAATGATGCACTAGTCCTTCAGGAGGTGACTTCTAGGAACAGAGCTGCACAAGGCCCCGACTCACCTGAGTGATTATGCGCTCTCCATCCTTATAGATCTTTTCTCCTATTACATCCACAATCTTCATTCGTTCTGACACCTGAAACAACGGACATACAAATTATAAGGAAAAGACCTCAATTGAAAGTCACAAATAATATCGATACAACATAGAAATGAGTTAAAATAGTATAACTCGAAAACCTAACAACAGAAGAGTTTTAACAGCTTTTCCTAAATCCCCATAAATAGACTCTTATTCAAATAGACTTTACCTCTAGTGATTTAAGAAGCGGCACAGATTCAATAAATGATTCAAACATCTTCCTCTTTTTTGCATTGTTTTTCACGATGATTCTTCTAAAAGTCACACGGTCCTACAAGAAAGAATATGAAAATTTTGGTAAATGTCTGTGTAAGAGAATATCTATGGTTTAATTAACTAGGCCACAGCAAATACTGGAGGACTGTAGAAGTTACTGGGTCAACTGAGTGTCTAATGATATTTCAATCTGAGTCATTACTAGAAGAAAAAGACCTCTAGCCTGAGCCAGACAGATGTACCACATGTTGCCGCTTGCTATCTAGAACTCAGTGGGTGCCACCTGTGGGTCATAAATAGAATACTAAATTTAAAAACTCCCAATTAAATATATATGAGCTCACAGTCATTGTTCAATGTGAAAGATGCAACAGTCAGCCTTGGTGATCTAGTGGTTAAGATTCGGTGCTCTCATCGCCTTGGCCCAGGTTCATTTCCTGGTCAGGGAACCACAACATCCATCTGTCAGTTGTCATACTGTGGTGGCTGCAAGTTGCTGTGATACTGAAAGCTATGCCATCAGTATTTCAAATACCAGCAGGGCCACCCATAGTGGAGAGGTTTCAGCGGAGCTTCCAGACTAAGACAGACTAGGAAGAAGGACCTGGCCACCCACTTTCAAAAAAACTGGCCATGAAAATCTGATGAATAGCAGCAGAGCATTGTCTGATACAGTGCCAGAAGACGAGAGGACGGCGCAGGGTTCTGCTCTGCTATAACAGGATCATTAGGAGTCAGAATCAACCCGACAGCACTAACAAACAAACACAATGGGTAAACAGTTATTTGTACCTAAGTAAACTGTACCTTTCTTCCACCTCAGGCTGTTAGGAACGGAAAGATTTTTTTTTTTTTTTGGAAAGTAGGGTAATAAGATCCTAAAGGCTGGCAGAATGAAAAATAGCAGGGGGGTACTGGTATGTTTAGCTGTAAGTTTGCTATTTTAGTATTTTTGATGATGGAGTGGGAGTGAGGTAGAGAAAACACATAGAGGACAATTGAGTTGAGATGTCTAAATGGGTTTCACTGGCTCATATTCCACTAGGTACAGAATTCCCAGGCCCTATCCCATGCCATGTTTCATGTGCCTTACAAAAGAAGTCACCTACTGCACCCTACACTCCTGTTGTGAGCAATGGCAGACTCCCACTCTCCCTCCCTAAACTGCTGTACAAAAGATGTCTGTTCTCCGGCATTTAGCCAGATTCTGCCCCATTTTCTTCTCCATCTGTTTGCTTGAAAAGACCCATTCAATCTATGATTGCTCTAATGGGCGGCATCACTTGCCACTACTTTTTTTCAAGTCCAAGGTGAAGGATGTATCATTTAAAATGTTACTGTTATACTTTGGAATATTACTCCATTATCTTTATTCTTTTTTTATTTATTTATTTTTTTGTGAGGAAGATCAGCCCTGAGCTAACATCCATGCTAATCCTCCTCTTTTTGCTGAGGAAGACCAGCTCTGAGCTAACATCTACTGCCATTCCTCCTCCTCCCCCCCCCGCCCCCAAAGCCCCACTAGATAGTTGTATGTCATAGTTGCACATCCTTCTAGTTGCTGTATGTGGGACGCGGCCTCAGTATGGCCAGAGAAGCGGTGCGTCGGTGTGTGCCCAGGATCCGAACCCGGGCCGCCAGTAGCGGAGCACATGCACTTAACCACTAAGCCAAGGGGCTGGCCCTCCATTATCTTTAAAATTCAGTTTCTACATGTTTTCTGGGCCAATTTGGGCCAAGAGTGTTGTGCTGTGGGAAGAGGACAATCAAGAATGAGAAAATGGGAATTATAAAGTTTCCTTCCTTACATTTGAGGAGACACTGTTGAAAAAACCAACATATACATATATATATTTTTTTTGTGAGGAAGATCAGCCCTGAGCTAACATCCATGCCAATCCTCCTCTTTTTGCTGAGGAAGACTGGCCCTGAGCTAACATCCACGCCGATCTTCCTCCACTTTATGTGGGACATCGCCACAGCATGACCCGACAAGCGGTGCGTCGGTATGTGTCCGGGATCCGAACCCGGATCACCAGCAGTGGAGCACGCGCACTTAACCGCTATGCCATGGGGCCGGCCCCCAAAAACCAATACTTTTAAAATCCATCTGTAATGTTATAAAGATTAATACAATTTCAATAGGAAACTGTATTTCTAGCTGAAGAGAAAACAACTGCTATCTCTTAAAGTGACTTATCTATTTGTGTTCCAACCCTTTCTATGCATGCTTTCACACTTCCCAGAACTCTCATGTTGTACAAGACCAGTTCCTGTGACTGTGGAGGGTATAAACAAGAACCAAACACCAATCCAGCTTTCAGGGAGCTTCCAAGGGAGCAGTGAAGAGGAAACTCCCATGGTGAAATAGTAGCTCCCTCAGGCAGCAAGTGTTCAGAGTCAAGCAAACAGCCCTAAAGTCCAAAACAGAAAAGGAATGCTACCTTTTCCTGTGACTGCAAGAGTTCCTTAAGAAAGTTTCTATTGACTTTTGCTCAGGGAAGAGAGAGCAGGAGCAGAAACTAAGTGTAGTGGTCATGGTGGTAGCTGCCCCAATAAGAGAAGGAATACAGAATCAATTTGAAATCCTGGTTGAAAAACACCAGGTCCTCCCCGCTTCAGCCTCAGAAGGCATTTCCAAGGCCTTGGAAGGCATAAGAAGTCAGGCTAGAGGACCCTCTGGGAGTCACTTTTATGGAGGTGTTACTGAAGATTTGGGAGATTTGGGGCTGTAAAGAAAGTGAACAAAGCAGAAGAAAGGCAGAGGCCAAAAGGGCATCTTGAGAGGTCGCTTAAGACAGCAAGGAGATGGATCTCACTTAAGACAGCATGGAGAGGAAGAAAAGACTGCAAAAGATAAGGCTAGGAAGAAGAAAGGCAGGGCAAGGATCTCAAGAGAGGGAGCCTTAGGAAGAGAAGGGTGGTGAGCAGCACCACGAAAATGGGGAGCAGGTGCCACCACTCTGTAGCACCAGCCTTGTGTCAGGCACAAAGGAAGCTGCTTCTCTTATGCCCATCTATTTAATTCTCAAATCTCAACCACAAGGCAGGTGGTTTTACAATTCAATGTTTCTTTGTGTGTTTTTTGCTTTTTAATTTCTATTGAGACTTTCTCTTTGACTTGGATATTATTTAGGAATGTGTTATTTAATTTCCAAGTGTTTGAAGATTTCCCTGTTATCGCTGTTATTGATTTCTAGTTTCATTCCATTGTGGTTCGAGAACACACTGTCTGATTTCAATCCTTTTACATTTGTTAAGTTTTATTTTATATCCCAGGAGATGGTCTACCTTGGTGAATGTTCTGTGGCCTTGAAAAGAATGTGTATTCTACTGTTGCTGTGTGGAGTGTTCTATAAATTTCCATTAGATCCTTTTGGTTGATGGTGTTGTTAAGTTCTTCTATATCCTTCCTGACTGTTTACTTGTTCTGTCAATAGCTGAGAGAGGGGCGTTGAAGTCAGCAACCATAATTGTGGATTCATCTATTTCTCCGTTCAGTTCTAACAGTTTTTGCTTTACCTATTTTGAAGCTCTACTGTTTGGTGTATACGTATTTAGAGTTGCTATGCCTTCTTGGTAGATTAACCCTTTCATTATTATGTAATGTTCCTCTTTGCCCCTGGTAATTTTCTTTGAAGTCTATTTTATCTGGTATTAATATACTCCTGCTTTCTTCTGGTTAATGTTTGCATGGGATATCTATTTCTATCCTTTTACTTTCAACCTACCTATACCGTTATATTTCAGTGAGTTTCTTATAGATAGCATATAGTTGGGTCCTTTAAAAAAATCTATTCTACTAGTCTCTGTCATTTAATTGGTATATTAGATCATCTATATTTATAGTAATTATTCATTTATTAGGGCTTAAGTCTACTATTTTATTGTATGTTTTTCTGTTGTTTCCTCTGTTTTTTTGTTCCTCTATTTCCTTCCTATGGGTTACCGGAACACTTTTTAGAATTCCATTTTGATTTACAGAGTTTTTGAGTACATCCCTTTGTACAGATTATTTTAGTAGTTGCTCGAGGTATTATATTATACATACGTAACTTAGCACAGTCTACTGGTTTCAACATTTTAGTAGTTTGAGTAAAGTATAGAGCTTTAGTTCCATTTAGACCCTGTTACCCCCCTCCAGCTTAGAGTATGATTGTCTTAAATATTTCCTCTACATACATTGAGAACTACATCAGACAATGTCATAATTTTGCTTCAACCACCTAACATAGTTTAGAAAACTCAAGAGGAGGATAGTCTTTTATATCTACCCATATGTTTACTCTTTCTGTTGTTCCTTCTTCGTTTTTTTTTTTTTTTTTAGTTATATGTGTGTATTGGGTCATGTTGGAAAATCCATTTCTTTTTTTTTTGTGAGGAAGAGCAGCCCTGAGCTAACATCTGCTGCCAATCCTCCTCTTTTTGCTGAGGAAGACTGGCCCTGGGATAACATCTGTGCCCATCTTCCTCTACTGTATATGGGATGCTGCCACAGCATGGCTTGACAGGCAGCGCATCGGTGCACACCTGGGATCCGAACCAGTGAACCCCAGGCCACTGCAGCAGAGTGCGTGCACTTAACTGCTGCACCACCGGGCTGGCCCCCCTTCTTCATTCTTGATGTTCCAAATTCCCTTCTTTTATCACTTCCTTTCTGTTTGAAGAACTTCCTTTAACCATTCTTTTAAGGTAGGCCTGCTGGTGACAAAGTCTCTTAGTTTTCTTTTGTCTGAGAACATCTTCACTTCTGAGGGATATTCTCACCAGGTATAGAATTCCGAGTTGATGGTTCTTTTCTTTCACACTTGAAAAATGCTGTGCTGCTTCCTTCTGACCTCCACGGGATGGAGGGAAAGCTGGCATCATTCAAATTGTTGTTCCCCTATGGGTAATGCATTGTTGCTCTCTAGCTGTTTTCAAAATTTTTTCTCTCTTTAGTTTTCTTAAGTTTGATTATGATGTGTCTTAGCATAGATTTCTTTGGGTTTATTCAATATGGAGTTCACTCAGCTTCTTGAATCTGTAGGTTTATTATGTTTCACCATATTTGGGAAGTTTTCAACTATTATTTCTTTGAATAATTTTTTAGGTCTAAACTCTCCTCTCCTTCTGGGACTCTGACGATACAAATACCAGGTCTTTTGTTATTATGCTACAGGCTTTGTTCACTTCAGTCTATTTTCTTTCTGTGGTTCAGATTGAGTTGTTTCTATTGTTCTATCTTAAAGTTCACTGATTCGTTCCTCTCTCATATTCATTCTGCTATTGAGCCCATATAGTGAGTTTTTATTTTGGATATTGTATTTTCCAGTTCTAAAATTTCCATTTAGATCTTCTTTCTGTCTTGTATTTCTGCACTGAGACCTTGTATTTTTTCCCATGTGTTTCGAGTGTGTGTATAATTGCTTGTTGAAGTATTTTTATGATGGTTACTTTAAAATTCTTGTCGGCTAATTCCAATATCTGTCTTCTTGGTGTTGGCATCTATTGATTGTCTTTTCTCATTCAGGTTGAGAATTTCCTTGTTGTTGGTATAACAAGTGATTTTCTACTGTATCCAGGACATTTGGTGTATTATGTTGTGAAACTCTGCATCTGATTTAATTTTCTTTTTGTGCAGGCAGTCACCCTGTTTAGGTATAGTGTGCATGGACATGTGGGAATGCATGTTCAGCTCCGCTCTGGACCCCACTGACACCACCCTGATTGAAAAAGTAGAGTGCCAACTAGTAATACCATACATCACCTAATTTTGCCTTTGCTGCCAGCAGAGACTGGAAGACCAGCTTCCTGCTAGCCCCAGTGACACTGTGGGGAGGCAGAAGTAGTTTTTTCTTTGGTATTTGGCTGCAGTAGAGTAGTATTATCGAAAAAGGTTTTCTGTTCTGCTAGGCTGTCCTTCTCCTATTCCTTTGGCTAAAGGGAGCAGGCTTTCCTTGGGGTTGATTTTTGTATGTACCTGTTGGTGAATCTGGGTTGTAGGCATTTCCAGCAATCCATCTGGGACACATGGGAAGCAATAAGGAAACCTAGGGAACTCACTGTCATGTCCTTCCTAAGTCCCAAGATCCCTAGCCAGCCAGCCTTCTCCTTTCCATCTTTCAAGGTCTTCGTATATTTGTTTGTTGTAATATATCCAGAGATTTTAGGTTTTAAGAGGGAAGACTAGTAAGGAGTGGGGCTATTCCATCTTGGGCTGGACCAGTAGTTGGCATCAATGCATTTTAAAACTGAGTTTATTTTCCTCCATTATTTATTGATCTATTCCCGAGTTTTCCAATCACTGGACCCACGGGTGTGTGATCTACTCTTAAGCCATTGTCTCTCTCATCTCTCAGAAGCATTCTTAATTCTACATCAGTATGTCATAGTAAAGTGCTCTATTATGTCTTTAAAATGTGATTTCATTTGAAGAAATATGTTGATAATTCTCTGGTATACATTTAATTCTGCTTGTAAGGTAAATGGAAACAAATTACTATAGATGTCAACATTTTAAAAGTGAAACTTTGAATCTGTACAAGAGTGTGATTATTTTGTTTAAGAAGGAAGAGACTTATACATTTTGAAGGCTTGATGCTGAAGGAAGCATGGTGGGTCATGTATAATAGAGGATAGCGATCACAGTAGTGGTATGCCTAAGACATTCTAGGAAAGTTATCTTTCTCAGAATATGGTCATCAACTTTTCTAGTCATCTAAATCTATTGGATATTGGCATAGATCAATGAACAAGTGGATGGCTGAACAGAGAGAAAAGTTAGTCCTGGGACAGCTAGAGATGAAAAACATTGTTGGCAGAGCTTTCAGTGACACTTATCTTTCTAGGCTATCTCTTGCATTGAGAGTTATCCCCTCTCTCTCCACTTGTCTGTTAAAAATATGAACAAAAAATGTAATAAGAGCTGACATGACTGCAAAGTCATAAGGCCCAGTCTTTTCCCTGTAATTTGAAGTAAATGGTTTGTTGACAAATCATTTTAAAGAAATAGAAAAATACATTTCTACGAGACTTTTCACAATGTCTTTTAGATAACTGGCTATAAAATATAGTGTGAATCAACAACCCAAGGACAGAGACCCAGAAGTAAGGGAATTAATACCATGCCACGCAAGGGGAATCATTTCTCTAACTCACCAGTCCCCAAAGGGAGCCTTCTGAAGTGGCGACAATGGTAGCAGCTCTCGGGGTGTTGTACATCAGAGCTAGTTCTCCAAAACTGCCATGGTTGTCATACTGACCAACAGAACGGGTTTGATTATCTTTTGTTACTAAAATATCATAGGTTCCCCTGGAAGTATAACAAGAAACAATTTCATTTATTACTTCAAATAATAAATTTAAGAACTAGCAGGTGGTACATAAATAGAAGATACATGTGATATAAAACGTTGTTATATGGGATTTCTAACAGACTTTTGCTAGTGTATAGAAATACAATAGATTTTTGCATTTTGACTTTGTATTCTGTGACCTTGCTAAACTCACTTACTAGTTCTAGTAGCTTTTTTGTAGCGCTCCTGGGATTTTCTAGAGGAACATGGGATCTGCAAACAGAGACCGTTTTACTTCTTCCTTTCCAATCTATATATCCACTTTCCCTCCCTCCCTCTTTTTCTTTGTGTTATTGCATTGGCTAAAACCTACAGTACAATATTGAACAAAAGTGGGGAGGGCAAGACATCCTTGCCTTGTTCTTGATCTTAAGGGGAAACCATCCAATCTTTCACCACTAAGTATGATCTTAGCTGTAGATTTTTTATAGATGCCTTTAAACATGTTGGAGAAAGGTCCCTTCTATTCCGAGAAAGGTCCCTTCTATTCCTAGTTTCCTGAGCATTTTTAATCACAAAAAGGTGTTGAATTTTCTCAAATGGCTTTTCCTGCAGATATTGAAATGACTGTCTGGGTTTTCTTTTGGAATCTGTTGAAAATTAGGATGTAGAACCAATTAAAACAAAGAAATCAAAAGACAGGGCCGGCCCCGTGGCTTAGCAGTTAAGTGCGCGCGCTCCGCCGCTGGCGGCCCGGGTTCGGATCCCACGCGCGCACCGACGCACCGCTTCTCCAGCCATGCTGAGGCCGCGTCCCA